TTTAAATCAATTGTCATTGCCAAATTTTTATAAAAAAACGGTCTGTACCACCCTAGATACCATGTTCTATGACCACGCTTTATAGTATTTTCCACTAAATAATAAGTAAGGTTGTGTATATTCTACACGAAGTTGTCACTGATTGTCACTTTAAAGACGAAGCCACTAATCTCTCGTCACTTGGCTAATATCTACGTTTTGAAATTAAAACTCGTGAGCAATATATTAAGATAACATAATTAAGTGCTATAATTAAAATTTGAATATTGTTTAAAAATCAGAATTACTGGAAGAATCTGAGTCTTCCGCTAGTTGGATGATGACAGGAGGTAAATCAGTTATTAATGAATTTCCCATTAATGTTGTCCAATCTTTTTTAATTAGTTCTTCACAGTGGCGAACACTATTTGCCCACATCTCCGGAGTGTAATGACCAAGAGCTTTTTGCCAAGTCTCCTTGACACGACAGATCTTTTTCTCCGAGCTGGACTGAACATGTTTATTGTAATAAGTTTTTAAGAACGCCCAACATAGTTCAATGGGATTATATTGGCAATTGTATGGAGGAAGGCGAAGAACAGTATGGCCATGGTCTCTTATTAATTTGTCAATTTCAAAGGATTTTTCAATTTGAGGCTTGTAATAACGGATTATTTCCCATAACGATTTTTTATTTAAGGTTGGTTCAAACTGTATATTATGTTCAGTTAACCATTTTTTCATATCATTTTTTTTTGTGCAGAAACTTGGAGCTTTCTCGATTTGTTTTGAGTGATATGGAGCATTATCCATTACTACCGCACACTTCGCACCCAAATTATTTAATGCTGGAAGTAATTGATTTTTCACCCATTCCATAAAAATAATTGACGTCATATTTTTATGATAATCTCTGTGCTCCGTGTTGTCACTGAGCAAGAGATCGCAATTTGGCAAAAACCCTGACGAAGTGCCTGCGTGCAAGATTGTAAATCTTTTTCCTTCGCCTTCTGCTCTTTGCGGAATACCGAATCTTTCATTTTCATTTACCCATTGATAAACTTGGGTGCCATTTTCGTAAATCCAAGTTTCGTCAAGAAAAACAAAAGTATACTCTCCGGATTCTAGGTATTGCAAGTATGTCTTTAAAAATGTAATTCTTTTTGAAACTATATGTGGTTGTTCAATTAACACTTTTCTATTGCTAATCTTTTTATATCTATATCCCATAGATTTTATAATTTTATGTAATTTTGATCTACCATTAGTAAAATCACATTCATTTCTTGCAAAATTAAGTAAATCATTAAGATTAAAATACTGTTTCTTTTCATGCAATTTTTGTATTTGTCTTCCTAACTCTTCTTTAATAAAATATAAATTATTATCCGTTTTGTAGTTCATTTTACAACGCCCTTGTGTTTTTGGTTTTTTTACAGTTTGATATTTTTTGTAGGTTTGAATAATTTTAAAAACCGTCGTGCTGTGAACCTAATACAATTATGTTGAATATAAATTTAATTTTAAAACTCAAGTGCAATACACATACATCAAAAATACGTGAAGCTTTATCACATATATATTTTAAATTCGTATTTGGTGTCTCCGTCTGTACTTCTTCACAATACCTAATTATAGAGTTTTTTTCGCGTTTAGACAGTTGACATCCCGTTCCACCCTTTCTTAACATTTTTATGGTAGATTTAGCAGCAAAAAAATTATATGAAAATTGTTTTTTAATCAATCTTAACAAATTTGATAGACAGTGGTGGCACACAATTAAAGTAAAAGTCACGACATGCGCTTTTACTTTCAATACCAACTTGACGACACTTTGACAATTGATTTAAATAAAAAACAGATTATGTACTATAATACAGTGTGTCCCCGGATTGTGTCCCCGTAAGGTATAATTGACGATAAATTTTTGAATTCAAATTCCATCTTTTGCAATTAAAGTCTGGATGTCATAAAACGAAATATAAGCAAGTTTTACGTCAAATGTCCTCAAAGTACCAAAGTTAACGCAAGAAGTTTGTTAACTGTTGCAGGTAAAGTGGCCTTTCTGAGCAATATACAACAAAAGTTGATTAAAATAAAACGTTTGTTATGTTAAATTATAGCGATATGCCGAATTTTATTAATCGCAAGAACCTATTGGGAATATGAAAAGCAACAGCTTTCAGAAACGATATAGATTTATTACAAAAAGGACAAATATCAAAACAATCAATGAATTTGCAATCATTTCTTGACGAACAGCATTTACTTCGAGTAGGAGGAAGATTAAAACATCCAAAGTTGGATTTTGATGCAAAACATTAAATTATACCTCTAAAAAACATGAGACAAAAATATTGGCGATATTGGTCTTGGAAACTTCACTGGAAGCGATCATCAGTAAATAAGTTAATGACTGCTCATCAGGCCCCTTCAAATGCGTAATAGAACTGCTATCCGTTGGAATGCTGCTAATTTAAGGGCAGAGGTCTTCGCCACTGTCATTGAAAATGGCAGAAGAGAAGTCCTGGAGAAACAAAACGACGAAGAGCATATTGTATCGACCACAATGTCACTTGTCCGGCCTGCGTGCGAGTCTAGCATACTTCAGCAGAAACGTCCCAAAAATTCGAAAAATGCTGTGTATTAGTGGACGCCAGAAATAGCTAGTCTTAGGAAACAAATGCACCAACTGTCGAAGGAAGTTGACGAGAGCCAGAAGACGTTACCGTTAGAACGTGCAAAACAAAACTAGCGAGAAAAGTCAAAAGATCTTAAGCGTGTGTTTAGAATTGATTCGATAAAACTTCATTTTTGTTATTTTTATTTTTCATATTTTATTTAATGCAATTTTTCGGATAGATTGTACATTTTCGTTTTATTTTCGTGCCGAAATTTTTTATGCGTTCGTTCCGCGCGCAAGTAGAAAAAAACCAGTACTCGTTTTCTTCGATTTGCTGTTACGACACAGAGAATAAAGATGAGTTTTACAATGAACTTTAGTGCGTTTCTGTTCAACAATTTCTTTCACAAGTTTAGTTTTCATTAAAGTTCTAAGTGTACATTCTGGACAGTAAAAGCAAGTATAGTTTTCGATTGACATTTTCGAGATCGTATAATTAGTAGATCAATTCATTTTCAAAAACGATCGTGAATAGATTAATCTAAAACAGCGTGCTATATTCAAGAGTAAACGGTTGAAATGAGACGAATTACGGGACGATATAAACCGCGACCCATTGGATACAAGATCGTCATAAAGAAGCTAGGACATTCCGTACGACCCTGATACAATATCTGTTATCGTCAACGCTATGTTCCCGATGTGACCTGAAGCAAATAATCAAACCAATAAAGATTCCGCGTATGTTCCTTTATTTACTGGAGCCGAACTTCTCGCCGCTGCGGAAGCGTTAAAAAACGGAAGAGTATCCGGCCCAGACGGAGTCCCTTTAGAGGCACTTAAAGTTCATTCTACCTGGATGAACTGACCAGACGAAGAATGGCGTTAGAAGGCCCCCTGAACATCGCCGAAACAGAGATCGTCACAAAGTCAGTTTTACTAGACACATAAAGATGTGTGTGCTATAAGGCCGCACGTAATTATCATCATTATCATAAATCATGGCAAACACAAGGGGGCCGACAACATCAAAGCGAAAACTATTGATGGAAGTGACACATGCGATCATACTCTATGGGGGTGAGGTCTGGTCAGAGACGGTTAGCCGCGAAAAGTATAGAAACGCCTGTTGGCGTTGAAAAGAAAGCGAAACTGGAAAGCCAGCAATATGCTCGAAGAAAGAACTCAAATAAAAAGCCATATTTTGGAACGGTAGTGCTTATCCTAAAATCCCAGAAATCCCAAATGGATGCAGCTCTGAATTCTTTTACAGTCATTAACCAGAGCCGACACCGTTTTCACGGCCTGCAGCGCCTGAAGGCTTGATTGTCTGATCGTACTGTCATATTCTACACTCCTCTCTCAAGAAGAATTTTAGCACCCATCTCAATAGTAAATACTTCCGCCTGGAATACAGTACAATACGTACCAAGGCTGTAAGCTTGCTTAATCCGAAGTGCCTGATATTCCTGCTCCGACTTCTTCCAGCGTTTTTGATCCATCTATAAACATGCAAATATCTGCCTGAACCAGAGATTTTCGTTTTCGATCCCTCAGGCAGTATAATCTGGTATGAAACATTAATCACTTGTAGTGATCCCGTCAAATCTGACGGCATTGATAGCACAATATCAGTGCTTATAGTGTCTTCCGCAGCTCAGTGGTACATTTCGGAGCAGTTTCAAGCATATTGCGTATACCTGTAAATAGTAGTTCTAGGCACTTTCTCTATATGCAAATGCAAAGGAGATAGGAGAAGCAGAACATCCATTGCTGGAGTTGGCGTTGTGCTGCATAAATAACGCTCTTGATGGCAGTGAATACCATCTTACATATGACGACTTTCAGGGATTTTAAAGGTCAGTTCGGTTTTATGAACTAACAATGAGATTTTCTTTAGTTTTGCTGTGCAATCTAAAAATAGTAAAAATGTTATCATTTTGAATAATTACTTAAAAATTAATATGCATCTTATACGTAACGTCTTATAATCCGTAACGTCTTATAGTCCGTAAAATACGGTAAATGTTCAGTGTTATATGCATTAATTGAAGAGGAGGTTACTCCTGCATCTTGATATGGTGTCTCTTCCATAATTTGGAGTGAAATGTTAGAAGTGGCATCTTACTACTGAGACTTTGCAATGTCCTTAAAAATGTACACTTAGAATAACCGACTCGACTAACATTTATATACTATTATTTTAATAAAGCCCACAGTGGTCTACGTACTTCTTCAGCCGAACCAGTTATGCGCGTCGCTATGTCACATCCGGTTTAGCGGTGAAAAACGCAACTTCATTTTGTTTTGCAGCGTTCCACTACAGTGCAGTTCTATGAACAATTCTTCGATTTTCAATATCACATAGTGATTTCAGAGAAAAAGTTTGATATTTCCATTGATTAGTTTTTATTAATTAACATTACAATAATTTATGATATATCGCTAAATAAATAAATAATGTCTTATTTGGATGATTATTCTGTCATTTTTTCAATTAAAAATCGTACATTGACATAAACCCCAGTTGTTAAACCAAATATTCCATAAAAAATCAATATTAAATCGATAAGTAATCGAAAATGACATGGTCCATAGTCTTTCTGATGTCTCCAGCATATGTCTAAAATGGCCGGAAAGATTAGCGTTAAACAAGACAAGGCTATTGCGCCGAGCAAAGAAATTACAGTTCCAATAAATGGGACGGATATTGCTAAAAATACTAAAAAGAGATTTAAATAAATTTTTAAATAAGTTGTTTTTATTACATCCCAATGCAATAAATCCTAATCTAAACACATATTCCCATAAAATCGGATATGGTGATTCTAACTTTGGCAATACATAAGTATCCATTACTAATCTAACTGGAACAATTCCGTTTAAACCTATTGATAAGAAAATCGCTAATGCATACAAATAATTTGCAGCTCGTGCAGCTCTAAAAAGCAAATAGAAAAAGATAATAAAACTGAATAAACAATGATATAAACTTACGATTCATTCATTGGAAAATTAAGTATAACAACGGGTTTTAAATCTTCACCCCATTTCCAATAACTAAAAAATCCAACACAAAGGTACAGTATTAGCAAAATCAGAATTGCTAAATCGTAAATTCTATGAAAATGTTTCGGATTTTTCATGGAATTTTCAACGGAAACCACAACAGGTACACTTGTAAATGCGAATAATGTCGTGCCAAAAAACATGGGTAATTTAAAAATATCATTTGTTAATTTTCTTTCATCCAAATAGCTCGGTAAAGATTCGCGAAAAACGTAATAAAATATCATTCCCAAAACCATTACCGTTACGCCAAGCGAAAAGTATGAAAATGGTGCCAAATATTTTAAGTTTTTTACCGAATTGATCAGCATACATGGTATTATCATCAACAATAGGTAAAACCCTAACGAAATTTCTTTACCGACAATGTTATTTGTAACCATCTCAATTGAAACTCCAACAAAAAGCATATAAACGCATAATACACCACCTTGATACGAGATAATTAATGCATTTGTTAAAACACTGAAAAAAGAAATTGTTTATATTGTAAATTAGCCTTAAAAATGATTTACGAAAAAAAATGACTGGTTTTTGGAAAATTATTAGGTCCCAATGTAGTACCGAGTTCCATAGCATCGGCATATGTGACAGAGGGTAAATGGTAAGCTTTACCAACCATATAAAACCCCGTCACCAAAATGTGCATTCCACTTGTGCATAAGAAAGCATTTAATACACAATAGATTATCGCCATCATTCCACCGGCAAAACTAAAACCTTCAGGTAACGCTAAAACTCCGGTTCCCAAAATTCCTTTCATTATATGTGCAAAAGATTCCAAATCACTTAAAGAAAAGATAATTAGATTTTTATTTAGTTGCTCAATTAGTAAAAAGCACACGCTCAATTAATATTAACTTTATAAATAAAAAAAATAAGCAGCCCCCTCTGTATCCATTGACATATACAGGGTGTTAAAGAAGAATGTAAAATATTTAAAGAGGTTTCTTAACAAACATGGGTCCGCAAATGAACGGTTTCGGAAATATCATTTTCTTATTATAGGCGGCTAACATTTTGAAATAACAATACTATGAAATAAACTTTGACTGTTATCACTGCATAAGTTTTCGGTTGCTATGGTTGTTTACTCTAACGTCGAATTAACTGACACATTTCATGTATGGTCGTACTGATGGCATTACCACCGAAGCGCGAAGACTTTATGCTGAAGCTTATCCAAATCGCCAGATTCCTTCACATCGTATTTTTGCAAGAATTCACCAAAGATTGCGTGATACCGGTTCATTAAGCAGACAATGCTCTTTATCCGGAAGATCAAGGTTGGTATCTACTCCTAGAGCCGAAGAAGAAATTCTGGCAGATAGAGCGTAATCCAGGGACGAGTGTGTGGAAAATATCAGCCGAGGTAGGAATTAGCACTCCTCTAGTTTGGAGAATCCTTCACGAGGAACTGCTTTATCCGTACCATGTAAGTACAACGAGTACTGAATTTAAAACCAGTTGATCTTGAAGCATGTATAGTTTTTTTTCCGTTGGTTGTAAACCAGTTAACAGGCGCTGCTTATCTAAACTTTCTGCAGAACAGAATGATTAAATCCTTTTGACGACATTCCCCGAGACCAAAGGCGACAATCTGGTTCCAGCACGATGGAGCTCCACCTCATTTTTCAATTGCGGTCAGAGTTCATTCCCCGTGAATACCCTCGAAGAGCTGCAGCTACGAATTAATCAATAATGCCAACACATTGGAGCCAATGAGGAGATTTTAGAAAGAGTTGTTGCTGAAAGAATTGCTTTAGACGAAGATGTGCCTGTTTGGATATGGAAGGAGAACATTTTGAACATCGTATTTATCTTTATTTTTTGTTAGAAACTTCTTTCATTTGTTTGCACATAATAAATAATTTTTTCCATACATCCGAAACCGTTTATTTGCGGACCCATGTTCGTTAAGACTTTTTTGTTTACTTTGGTCCATACTAGAACGTTTTGAAATATTTTACATTCTTTGTTTGACACGTTACATTTAAAGAGAGCTTTAGGAAAAATTTAGAAAACAATGATCTAGTATGAGAGTACCTATAAACTATGCCAAACTTTTCACATTACATTTCGCTGACGAGCAAGTGATAATGGCCGAGGATAGACTAGATGTAATTTAAATGCTCCGAAAATTAGAATTAGAATACGAAAACTATAGGTTCTCTATTAACTCGGAACAGATTATATACCTGGTGGGAGCCTCTAAAGGGCAACATTATTAAAAACATGACATCTTATAGATACCTGGGAGTGCAAATTACAGGCAAGGGGGATAGCAACGAAACAATATCAAATAAAATACGAATGTATAAAATTCGGGTCGAAAGTGTTGGAACCTTCGATATAATGGAAATGAAGTACAGGCAACGGTGCTGCAGAACTAGGAAAGATAAAGTGAGAAATGTTGATATCAGGCAAGAAGTTGTATTGACATAAGTATTTTTTTAGACATTACTTCCAAAGAATGACGAGAGAGGCGATAGAGATTTATCGACATGGGTATAACATGAATAGAGAAGACGGCTGGGAACTCAGCCATACATGGAAGATGCTAGTAAACTCAACGAAACCTTCTCCACCTGGATTTGACAAAAACAACTTAGTTGACAATTGACACTAATTAGCTATTAATTATCTTTTTCGACAACTGCTAGTAAAAGTTGACTTTTGCATAGTACTTAGCGACCGACAGCTACGACAATCAAAGAATTTGATACTATTAATTGTTAAATTATTGTTATGAACAAATTATAAACACAAAATAATCAACATTTAATTGTTTTATCATTTCATTTCACGTTTAAATGCAAATTTATAATAGTACATTTGTTCAATAAGTGAGGTTAAATCGATGTGACGTTAAGTTTTTGACATAACATTAAATGAATTCTAAATGTCATTATCCTGAATTTGGTCTTTTTATTAATTTATAACTTTAGTATACGCAGTTTTCGAAAAAATGTTGTTTGATACACGACAACGAAATTCTTTTGCATTCTCGAACGATTTTTTTTGGTCGCTAACGCTCGCAAAAAAAACTTTCGTTCTCGAATGCAAAAGTGTCATTTCGCTATCTTGTATCAAAAATAACTATTTTACGTATTTATTGTCAAAATTTATACCGTACTTGACATCCGAATCGTCAAACACTTTTTCAAAAAATGCACCAAAACAATTCACACGTGCCAAACAACAATTCAGTTAAAAACGAAAAAAAGTTTTTGATGTAGTAACAGGAGAAGAAATGAAGCCCAAGGTACAGAGAAATACGAAGAAAATTTTAAAAGTGGAGAATCAAAGACGTAAAAGCACTAGGAATACTAGTGCAAAGAATGGAGGAAGCTCCAATGACACACATCTTAAGCTGTGGAAATGCACATAAAATGTGTGAAAAATTACTCTCAGTTTACAAACATACATCTGAAGTGAGTTTATATTTAGTAAGACAGAAATTTTTTAACGCTAAATATGGGGGAAAAAGCATGTTAGTTTTTCTAGCGAAGTTAGAGGAACTTGCTAGCCAATTAATTAATTAATTAGCCAATTAAACAGATAGGAAAACCAATTTCCGACCAAATGTTAATGGCAAAAGTAATCATGTCGTTGCCAGAACCGTACAAACATATTGTATCTGCATGAGAGTTAGTTCCATCGAACAATCAATTAATATGTGAATTAACATCACGTTTCTTGATTGAGGAGCAAAGAATAAAAACAAATGAACAAACAAAAACTGCTTTTTTTGTCAGGAAGAAAAGATTAAAAGAAAATAATAAAATACTTTCGATGCAGCAAATTTGGACACATTTTCTACGAGGCGTGCTGCAGAAGAATGGATACACTTCGAGGGACATCAACCAGGCCATCAAGCAGCGAAAGTAGAAAGAGGACACGGTAAGTACAAAACCACTTGGATTTATCTGTCTTCCCTATGTTTCAGGTGTAACGGAACGAATTGCTAGGCACCTCAAGAAGAACGAGCGGTACGGCACGGTCAGCAAAATTCGGAACACACTCCCGATAGCCAAGGACAAACTAACTCCATTAAAAGGAGCGGGAGTCTACCGACTATCGTGTAGTTGTGGGAAGGTTTATGTTGGCCAAACTGGACGCAACGTCGAGTGCCGCATCAAGGAGCATGAGAGGGATGTAAGTTGCGGAACATTGCCATGCAGAGGGGCACCGAATAGACTTCGAACAAACAAAGGTGCTGGCTAGGGACAACAGATACTACCAAAGACTGACAAGAGAAACCATAGAGATTCACCGACACAAAAATAACGTCAACAGAGAGGATGGCTGGGAGCTTAGCAGAACATGGAAGATGGTGGTGAACACGAAGACCTCTTCCCGCCTTACACCGGACGCGACGCAATTAGTCATTAATTAGTTTGTAATTAGCGTTAACTGATTATTAATTAGTTTTTCCGACTTATATATAGTTACCGATTTTTGATCTCGTCACTTCGAACCAGTTTCTGAAGAAGGTTGCAACATGGCATCCGAAACGTCAAACCTTTTATTAAAAGACGCACGGCAAAACCCGAAAGTTTCTAGTATTAGTTCTAGTTTTAGTTCTAATCTTAGTTTAAATTTGGATACATTACACAAAATTGTAAAAAGAGGATAGAATATGTCATATTTGTAAAAAACAAAGTCACATCGCAAAATATTGCTGGTTTAAAGATCAAAGAAACAACAAACAGAATGAGAAACCTAATAAAAAGGATAAAGTCAATACGTTCATAAGCACAGCCTTAGTAAAAGTTAAGGGTAGGTTGAAAGTACAAATAGGGTCAAAACGTGCCCTATTGTGAGTTAAACATATTCCCCAAATTTCATTTTCGTAGCGTTTATGGTTTTTGAGAAAAAAAAATTAAACCAAAATTTTCCGCCATTTTTGGTGGGGTGTAGCTCCTTAGGGGAGCCGAAGTCGCCCATGGTTCATATATCAAACTACCCTTAAAATTCACTAAAAAAATCACCCCTTGAAGTTTGTTGCAGTCATTCAGATACACCTGTATAATTATTATAATTTTTTAGGATCTGAAAATGTTACTAACCTTCTATTTTGATATAGTTTATCGATTTTTGGAAAGACGGTCTTTCTATTCGATTGAGGGTAACGGCCCAAGAAATGATCGGAACTGCATTTCACTACGAGCAGATCGTCCTGACTTTTCAAATTTTCACTCCTTGATGGTTCTATAATAGTATATTCTATTATAGTATCGATACATCCGATATCATTACACAACTAATCCAACACGTGGCACGTGCTGCGCGAAAAACTGTGCCACTTCCACTGCGCCACACGTGTTCGTGCTGACGCGAGTCGTGCTTCGTCGCGTCGTGTGATGAATTTGCCATTCATTTCCTCTTGCTACAAAAGTACGTGCTGCGCCGTGTCATTTCACACGCGTCACACATGTCCCAATTTGCGCCTAGCCTTAAGGAGCAATGGTCGCCAAAAATACCAAAAGAAAGAAGCTTCAAAAAATTCCCGACAAACGAAAAATAAGTTCTTCAGCACTAAATATATACGATATTGAAAAAATAGTTAAAATATAGGATCAAGAAACACCTGAAGGTTTACAACGAAAATTTTATCATGTAGCGGCTTATGAATTTGCCTGGAGAGGTGGTGAAGCAACAAGATGTAAAATTCATTTTTTCAAAGAAAAGAATTGCTACGGAACCTTAACGAAACGAATAGAAATCCAATCTTCTCTAAAACATGCCAAGGAGGATCGCAGAAATGTGCTGACAGTAAGTGGCT